GCCCAAAGATTTAGGAGATCTGGTTAGTACCAAACTTGACTTCATGGTGAATCAGGATTTCTGGAGTGTCTAAAATTTGTTGTACCCATGAGGTTAACAAAGGAAAAAATGTATATATAATTCTTAAACTACACAGAACTTTCATTTGGTGAGACCTTCTACTCCTGTAATGCCTATGGCCCTACTGGCCTATTGAATAGCAAGAAGTCAGTCACTTAGAGAATTCTGTGTGTGGCTTTTTTCATTATTAATATTTGAGATGTTGATATGCTATTGAAAGTGATTTTTGTTATTAGCTTGATCATAAGAGATGGTTTCTAATATTTCTTTGTTCTTACAATAAATCCTCCATTAGTAATGCCTAAAAGCCAACAATTCAAAATTCATACTGAAATAAAGCTTGGTGACTTCCTTGGGGCAGGTTTAGTTATCCTGCTTTGGACTCCCACAGTGCTTTGCCCATACCTCTGTCCACCTGGGTGCTGGAAGGCCAGTTTGTATAGGCCTCCTGTTCTCTGCCCCAGACGTGAGTTTCTCCAGGGCAGAGACTGTCTTAATCTTACTTCTGAATTTCAATTGTTTAGCCCAGTTCCAGATGTGGGATCAGTTCAGAGTCATTATAGGTGGAACTCCTTTGAATCTGTCGGCTTTAGGAATTTACTGTCAAAAAGTACCTATTTACAGACCAAAACACACACACACGTGTGTGCACGCACACGCTCACACGTGACAAAAATACATGGGAAAAGACAAATATGGCCTCTGTGTAGGGATAAGCAGCAGCAGCTTGTAGGGACATTTTAGGAGGGACACATCTCCTTAGAGCAGTGGTTCTCAGCCTGTGGATCTTAAAGGGCCACGGCATTAGGGAAGTTGAGAACCAGTGCCTTAGAGGCACCCTGAAGACTTAAAGGAAAACACATCTCTGAGTACAGAGGTGATAGTAAGCATAATTCCACTTTCCTGCACAAAACACGGGAGGAAAAGGTGTGATCCTGGGAATCAAAATCTAAAACTAGGAAAAAATGGATTACGTAGCTGACAATTTAGAAACAAAAATTTTCATCTTTATAATGTTTACTTTTTATCAACTCTCATGAGTATTAATACAAGTTTTAAGAAGAAATAAACTACAGAAAGTATCTATTTTCTTCTAAACCTTCAAAGGTACACATTCTGCCAATGGCCTGAGAGTTCACAGTTCCAGTATTTTCACAGCAATCATCACCCCCGGACACACAGCACCTCAGAAGAACTACCCAGACTCTGAGAAGGCTTTAAGTCAGCAGTTCTCGGGGAGTCATGACCCACAGGAACTGTATTAAAAGGCCGCGGCATTAGGAAGGTTAAGAACCACTGCTCTAAATAAAGGTCGTTGGGTTTGCACCTATCACATTCTGTTCATTTTCATATCCAGTTTCAGATCTCCCAGCCTTCAGGCTTTATGTTTCTATAACATGCATCTGCTCACTGTGAACTGTAGAAGGAAAGGGTACTGGTTAGAAATGTTGTCTCTGGATTTATAACCTGGCTTTTCAACTCACTAATTGCTCAAATTTAAGCAAGTTAATCTTGTTAACCCTCAGTGTTTTATTTTGTTTTGTTTCTCTGTCTGTTTAATGGGGATAAAGTCCTTTGCTTGGAGTGTTGTGGTAAGGCCACAATGAGGTAATATATGGAAAGGGCTTAGCTCAGAGCCTGGCACATTATTCTCAGTTTCCGTCTGTTCATTCTCATCTGCTGGGATTCCTTTTTGCATGCCAGTGTGATGAGAATATGCCCTCTTAACATCTACGTGTTGGGGTCCAGTTGTTTCTCTTTCTTTTTCCTTCACCTGTCCTGCCACCACACACCCCATACTTTCTCATTTTCCTGTTTAGGGTTACAGGTGCAGAGTCTGCTGGTCAGATCTATTGCCTGTGATTTATAACATATAGAGAACAGGATGTATCTCGAGCCAGCGTGTGTAAAGGCGTTAGATAATCACGTGTTTTATTCTTAAGCCAGGATTTTCATAGAGAGCCCTTCACTGAATACAGCCTGAATAAGAACCTTTAAAATAAAACAAAACTTATAAAAACCTGGCCTTAACATCAATTAGCTATTTAACCAAATAAAGCCCACTCTAAATGGTGACTGGTCATGGAGAATCAAGAAATAAAATCCTATGAACGTATGAGAAATCTAGAATCCTTACTGCTACGCTGTCTTGAACTCTGACGACACCTTTTGTTGAGAATCCTAGTACATGCCTTGCACACTGTGTGCCCCATAATTACTTGGTGTGATTTGTCTCCTGATACCCAGAGATGGGTGCAGGGTGTAGGGCTCCGTATTGAGCACCCCTGCTCACCTAACTGCCTACCACCTTTGTGTATGGGGATGGCATTTGCCACTGCCAACAGCTCATCAAGCCGGGCTTCTCTTAGAAACACTGCAAGTTGTAATTGCCTCACTGAAAAGAAAATGGCAAGTGCTTCATAGAAACAGTCTTTGAAATGTCAGCAGAAAGCAGCAGCCCGTACATGTAACAATGTTCTTCTTGTCAAGCAGACTTTATTAGAGGAGGTCTTTCCTACCTTGCTTTCCTTCTAGCTGACCCACTGTATTGTAGTTTTCACAAGACTTCATGCAATAGCTTGCGCTGCTATGAGGGTCTCAGAGTGGCTTTCTCGGTGTCCAGGTAACTTGAGGCAAGAGCAGGCACTGGAGCAGAGGAACAGACTTGATGGGCGCAGACCCAAGTCTGACTTTCCAGACCCCTTCACGGCATTTCATGCTGCGAGGAAGTACTGAACGATTATGTACAGTGGCTTTTCCATGCCCCGTGGACTGAATATAATTTAGAAGATTCCTGTGGTAAACCTGAGGGGTGGTTTAGAGAGAACTTGAAGTTATTAGCCCTATTGCTAGATAATTAATGCTTACAAATACAGCTTGTACTCTGAACAGCATTTCAAGGGGAAACAATAGCAGGGTAGTTGTATTCTTCTACATCTGGCCAGACTATTCACCCACTGGTGGTGAGGTTGTGGGATTTTAGAGCTATAGAAAAGGCTGAGACCAGGAAAAAGAAGCAGGCAGCTCTTGGGCTCGCCCATTCTCCAGAAAGTTCTTACTTTCCTAAAAGCCATGGCAAAATGAGTTTTAGTTTTAGGAGCTTTGGAGTCCCCAGAAATCACTACAGTGAACAAAAATAGGAGAATGGGAAGAATAAATTAAGTGATAAATCTGTAAGTTGAGATCCTGTACAGCATTCAAAACTGGAACCCCAGGTAACAACCAGAAAGATCTCTGAAGTGATTCAGAGTAAGTGTGCCACTCAAGATTTAGTTGTTAATAATTTACTCTCTGGAATATTACATTAAATGTTTCCCCCTTTAAAGGGGTTTTTAAAAAACTAACCCCTCTCTTTGGATATTAGTTAAGTCATAATATGTTATAATAAAGGGCAGTGTTTTTATAAAGAGCAATCTTACCTGTCCCATATTCAGATCATGGCTTTACTGAATGTAACGTAATCCAGTGAGCAAGTAACTCCATACCTCCTACCCCTACCACTCAATCCCTTCCAGTATCTCTTCCCAACGTAGCCAGAGTAATTTTCATAACCCAGGGACCTGATCATGTCACTGCATCATGTCAAGTTTTCTGTTAGCTCCTGTGGACCTCAGCATAAAGTGCAACCTTCTTAACAGACGATGACTGACCAGGAGCTACCCCTCTGCCTCTCTAGTCTTATCTCCCACCACCATTATTCTAGCCATTTTTCATGCCATTTCTCCAAGCAGGCCAAGCTTTGGACTTTGCTGGGTCTTACCACAGCAGGCTCCCCCACCTTGAAGACTCAACTCAGGGATCCACTGTCTGGCAGATCTTTCCTGCCCACAACTTCCCTCCAGCTGCCCCTCATGTGAGCTCTCGAATTGCCTGGACATGGGCTTTCCTGTCTCCCCTCCCTCAGGACTGTGTCTTTTGATGCCCTCAGGACTATGTCTTTTGATCTCTGTTCTCTAGGTTCCTAACACAGAGTAGGTGCTCAATAAGTATTTGTTGAACATACTAATGAGTAAGCAATTAAGTGTTTGAGCGAGGGAGCAAATTTGGTATATCATGGAAGGTGCAAACAGTTGCAGCTGGCCAATTAAGGACTAATGCTGAGCACAACTCTTTCAGTGATAACAGAGGTCATAGGGTCCTTAAAATTTCGTTCTTATTTTATATAGAAGTTACCACTATGCACCCTTGTGAACATCAGATGTCATTTTGTTTTCCTTTTCTTTAGAAATGTAGGAGACTAGAACGTAGTGGTTTCTCAGTGCGGCACAGCACCTAAAGCTAGATTTTATATATATATGTATATCACAGGAGGTGGAGGCAGATATCCAGTCTCCCTTCAGTCTGCTTGCTGTCACCTACTTCCAACACGTCCCCACCGAATCAACATACTCTCCTGATGCAGGGAGTCATTTCATAGAAATGTCATAAACTGTCTTGGGATACTGAACACATCTTAGCAGCCTCCAGCTGCCCCTCACCTGGGCTGACTCTCTCTGATCCACCTTTGTATCCATTCAACAAATATGTCCCATGTGTTTACCATGTGTCTGCTTGGAGGAGACTATTAAGCTTATTAAATGGTTGCTAGTCACCCAATGACCCTCTCTCCACTCTCATCCTCATCCTCACTTTCCTTCTGTCCAGTGTCCATCCCACCCTCAACATACCCAGCTTTGCTAGTGAGTCCTTTGAGTGAATTATGGGTGAGCTAACATGAGAGACTTTCTGCATGGTTTTTGTTCCATCAATTCCTCTGAATACAGACCTATGAACCCTGAAAGCTCACTGTCTTGAGAGAGTCATGCTCTGGAGAAAGCCTTGGGACTAGCGCACAGGGTGGGACCAGGTGCCGTCCTCAGAGCTCTGCCAGCTGCTAGTGTCATATCTGTGTTGGGAGAGGAAGATGTTTTCTAATAAAATGTTTTTGTCTTGTATTTCAGCTTACATTTTACTATGGTACTACAGATAGATGGTGTCCAAAAGAGTACTATGAAGACATCAAGAAGGATTTTCCAGAAGGAGATATTCGACTCTGCGAGAAACAAATAGCCCATGCCTTTATCCTCCGTTCTTACCAGGAAATGGCAGAGATGGTCGCTGACTGGCTAAAAGATGATCTGTCTAAACTATAACTCTTGATACAAGCAAACAAGTCCCTACCACCAGTACATGGAGGCAGTAGGTGTACTATACTTGACATAAATGATTGTGATGTTTGATATGAGGAAAGAAAAAATTAAGAACCTCTTGGCTTAAAAACTGTAAGCCCCCAGCTCCCCATGTTACAGGCTGAAGTAAACACACTTGATGATCCATTCCATAAGTTTAAAACATTTTCTAAGACTCAGGGAACACAGTGATCTAAACAAGGTCTCATGTTTGCACAGACTACCCGGTGGCACCATATGGTTTATTTTGGTAGGCCAGATCCTTGTAGATAAAAAAATATATAAATTTAATTGATTTTGACTGAGTTATACTGTTGAATAGGCTCTCCTAGGGGAAATTATGAAATATCTATTAGAAAATGTGAACGAGATCAATGAATGTGAAGGGAATGGTTAGATACGTGAAGTGTATGAGATCACGATGAGGATACACTCATGTTCCGGAAGCAGGAAGTGATGGGCAATGGATACTGGCCATGGACCTGGGTCTCTTCTAGGACAAAAGATGAGGATCAGCCCAAACGAACTTTGCACAGGTCTTGGCTAAGATCATCAGTGTCACTGCTGGTCTGCCTGCATTAGACAAAGAACAAAATTCACCAGACATTACTCTGATCAACTAGCCAGATAAAGAGTTGTTGAAGGATCCCAATTATGCCTCCTGCCATGGGAGAGCCAGCAAGCTGGGTGCTCAGCCTCAGCCTGCCAGGTTGTGAGCTCCCTTCAGGCTCCTCTTCTCCAGAGCCAGGATGGGGAGGCCCTGGGCCGTCCTGAACCAGGCTTATATGCACCAACATACTCCTTCTGTGATTCTTCTTTCTTTTTTTTTTTTAACTTCAGTTATTATGAGGGTACAGATGATTAAGTTACACTGTTTGCCTTGGTTAGGTAAGATCACTGTTGTAGTTGTGCCCCTCACCCAGGAGGTGTGCCACATACCTTCTGTTGTTCCCATTAGGTGAGAGCACACCAGCTTTTGTGATTCTTGCAATAAAACTCTGTTGAAGACCAGCAGTGAGCCACGTACTGTGCTAGCCATTGAGGATAGAGCTCGTTTAGCTACTTGATGATTCTTTTCTTCTGAAAATTTTTCTAATAAATAGTTTTTGAAATGGCATTTTAAATTACTAAGAGCATTAACCATAAATCATTTCTCTGTTTTCACAGTAACATTATTTTTAAAGAAATTTTTAAAGTTTTTTTTTTTTCACGTTTTTTTTTTTTTTGGCTGGGGCTGGGTTTAAACGCACTACCCCGGTATGTGGGGCCGGCGCCCTACTCCTTTGAGCCACAGGCACTGCCCTGAAGTTTTTCTTTTTAAAGTTAATTTTAGAAAGACTTTATTGTGCTAGTAAGTTAGGTGAATTTACCTTCTCTGGACACATTGAGGTCTGGTGGGAAAAAAAGCACATTCTCTGGCCTGGAGTGGACAATATGGCTGCCTTCCCTAGATTGACTCAATCCTGAGACTTTAGGAACCAATAAATCCCACAGACTACAGCGACAGTTGATGATCGATCGGAAACATTCCATTTTCTCCTAGAGGAAATCCCTTATGGCATTATCATTCCTTAATGACAATGAGATGTTGTTGTACCTCAAACCTAAAGCCCCTGATGAAAGATTCAGCTCTGATGTGCTGCCAGCCGAGTATGAGAGTTGAATGAGTTATTGTCCTTTGGCATGGCTTCTGCATTGGAGCAAATGACTTCTCAGAGGGGAGCAGCTAAGCTCCAGACAAGGAGTGCTATGAGCCTGAGATACACAGGACATGGGCACGGGGTACACACCATCCATATTGGCATCCACATGGGGAGACCTTCTAGAAGTCAGATGCTAGATGCTAGGACTCGTGGCCCTGAGTGCCGTGCATACAGGAGATGCTCAGTAATACTAAATCAAAGCACGTCAACAAGTCTGGGTAAATCATACCTACTGGAATAAAGAGTAACATTCATAACTTTGCTTTTAGCTATTATTTTACAATATTACTCTGTATTTCAAAATTGTGCATATATGAAATTGTATCTTATTTTTTAAAGCTTAAAAAGATAATTGGCTCTTAATTCACTTTTGAAAATGAATTTTCAAAATAAATGTTTTACTAGCATGTATGACCTTATCTGGCCTGTTCTCTGTATTGAGAGGGAAAAGGGTACAATTTGAGCAGTTCTCTTGAGTTAGACTCAAGTCAGAGTCTCTCTGTTGAAGTGAAAAGCTACTTTCTCATTGCTTCTCTTAGAGAGAGAAGAATCAGATTTCAGAAGACTGGCATTCCTTTTATTTCAATAGGAATTAGAAGACTAAAATCAATAAACAGTGGATGAATTCATTTTCCTAAAGCAGTTCTTTCTGCCTGTGTGTCTGAGTCAACCGCCATGGATGGTCTTTGTCAAAGATTTAACTTCTTACAGAGTTAAACAGTGCTGAGAGGAAAACGTACATGGGAACCTTGAACCATGCCCAGGTTTGTTCCTGGTCTGCTCTGGGCCATGGGGAAGAACCTCCAGAGGTCACCTGCTCTGGCTTGCATGGGCTGATACCCATGGCCTCCAGGGCCCTCTCTCCATCTGCATCTCCACTCAACACTTGGAGAACCAGTAACCTCCAGAGCTTTGATTTTTCTTCACCCTACACTGTGGTAAGGCAAAAGCAATTCTAGATTAAAGGAAGCTAAAGAGACATGATAATGTAACCCAAAACCTGATTCTGGATTGGAGGGTTTTCTTATAAAAGACATTGTCAGGACAATTTGCAGTTTGAATGTGGCCTACAGATTGGGAGTAAGATGCTGATGGTAATTTTCTGATTTCTCTGGTTATATTGTGAAGAAATGGGAGAATGTCCCTATTTGTACTGAAGACACACTGCACTATCTGGGAGCAATGGGATATCCTGAAAATAATGTTCTTTATACTTGCAAATTTTTTTTGGAAGTTTTAGATGATTTGAATTTATAAAATTAATTATTTTTTAAAAAGCATTCCCTCTCCTGCATCAGTCTTTCATTGCTTCTTTTCCAAAAGGTAAATTCCCTCTTCTAGGCAGTAAAATGGAAACCTGGATTCAAATCCCAGATTTGTCACTTACTAAGTTTGTGATGCTAATTTGCACCTCTGTGGGCTGCCAGCTCCTCATCTGGCAACTGGGATGGCATCAGCACTTGCCTCAGGTTTTAGAATTTGAGGAGGGGGAGGTTGTTTGTTTGTTTTTAATGGGGATAAAATGAAGTCATGCATATAGCATTTAGCATCTTGCTAGGCATATGGCCAACACTCTATAAAATGGTACCTACAGGAAGAGCATAGCAGACGCTATGGTGCAGTGCAGGACCCCGTGATCTCTGTCTCTGTACTGTTTCACCAGCCCGTAACTTGATTCTCACAGCCTTACCATTTCTGGCTTATGCGCAGTGACACTGCACACCCTCTGGTTCAACTTTCTCACCTTAGGCCATGCAGGCTTCCCCACGCACAGCCCAGGATGCTGTAACAGTGATCTAGAAAAGATGCAGGAGCAAAGCATTTCTCAGATAGCATTAGACATCATCTTTGTCCCTGGCCGCCTTCTACAGAGGTGGACAGGTGAGGACATACTGGGGCTGCTCCTTTCCTGGGGGTGGGGCTTAAGGCAAGGTTGGAGGCTGGGGCCAAGTGTGCTCTGTGAGGAAACCCGTCGCTGAGGTGTTGACGGAAGCTGTTCTGCCAGAGTGCCACGGTCAGAAAAGCTTGTATGAATCTCCTAATCACTTTCCAAGGGAACTGAGATTCCTGCCTGTGCCCCATACAGATGTAGGTAAGTGATCACATTGGAGCAGGTGGGGAGTGGCTGTGGGATGTGGATCTGGCCCCTCCCGGCAGACCAGCGGCATCTCCAGAGCAAGACTAGTGTCACCTAGTGTAATTCCAGGTGAGCATCCTCAGAGCATGGGCGAGGACCAGGGAAAGCTCTGAGTTGCCACACTGCTATAAAGAGAAACCTCCTGGACAAGAGGGAGGGGAAGGAGGGACTTGGATGGGTTTGGAATGGAGGAAAGTGAGGGCAGGTAAAGAACCTGCTGCTCCCCCCTGCACTTTCATGGTGGTTCACTTAGACCTCCCAACCCTGTAAAGTTCTGACTGTGCCCACTGTACAGTTTATCACTGAAGTACAAAGCTAAGTGCCTCGCTCAAGATCTCACAACTAGTGGATGGTAGAAACGGGATTCTGCTATGGTTTGAATGTGTCCCCAAAGTTCAAATGTTGGAAACTTAATCTCCAATGCAACAGTATTGGGAGGCAGGTCACAATGGGAGGTGTTTAAGTCATGAGGGCTCCACCCTCATGATAGAGTAATTCTCTTGCTCTCTCCTCTCTTGCCCGTCTGCCTTTCTCCATGAGATAACAGAAAGACGTCCTCACTAGATGCTGGCTCCTTGATCTTGGACTTCCCGGCCTCCAAAACTGTAAGAAATAAACCTACTCTTTATAAATGACCCAGGCTCAGATATTCTGTTACAGACACAGAAAATGGACAAGGACAGGTAACAATCCAGGCCTCAATTCCAGAGCCACCACTTCATCCCCTTCTGTCCACTGCATCATGCTGCCTCCTGGCGGCCACAGTAGGCACACCTGCCAAAGTGCAGAGCCAGGAAAAGGGGTCACAGGAAGGGCAAATGAGGGCCCAACTGGCACGGTAGGTGAAGAGTAGACAGAACAACTGAGGAGTTCTAAAAAAGAAATGAAAGCTGTAACAGAGACTGGTTTTCAGAGGGGAAAAAATGCATCGGGCAGTGGATTGAGAGGCAGCAGCACAGCATGCTGGCCATCACTGATGTGGTGACATGCCCTGACCTCTGCGACTCTTCCAAAGCTACCTGGTGCTCTGTGCCAAACACATGAACTCTCCACGGGCTCTTCTGTGTGGGAGTCACTGCTCCAGCTTTGGTAACATCCATCCTGATCCCACCCTGAGATGTGGCCCAAAACGCCAACTGCTCCTGCCTCCCGGAGCAGTCCCTCCCTCCCTCCCTCAGTCCCTCCCTCCCAGACTTCATGCCCCAGGCTTCTCTCCACTGAAGCACTTACCGTCACTGCAGAAATTATATCTTTACCGGCTGCACCTCCTGCCCCACCAATGCCCTTCCTGCCCTCAGAAGAGTGCTGGAAGATGACTTCTGTCTTAGTCACCTCTGTCCTCTCAGGGCTTATAGAATAAGGCCTGCTACATAAAATATTCTATAAATTGTGATAACTTAAATAAAAGCTTTCCCCATACCTAATGGATAAGCTCTCAAGAAACGCAATTCTTGGAATTAGACTCTCAGCAAGTCACATCTTAGGGCCTCCTCATCTTCAAAACTGAGCTGTCAGGGGAAGCATGGCCAAGAACACTTGCTCTTTTATCACTTCAGCATTTCCCCAGCAGAGCTGTGCATGAGTGGGCCAGACTGATTCAAAGACATAGGCTGTTTAAGACTCGCCCTGGGGCCTACCAGCGAGCAAGGTCACTACACCGCACGTCCCATTCCTCTTGTATAGTGGGACTGCAAGTGTTACTTCCATTCTTCCATGATTAGAAAACCTCCAGAGTCTGAGTATTAGCAGCTACCAAATATGTGGTTTATGATTTGTTGAGCACTAACCCTGCGCAGCACCCCAAGTGGGAATTATAGCAGCAATACACAGGACCGTGCTCTAGAATAGTGGAGATTTTCATTTTGTATTGCATTCCTCAAACATTCTGGCAAAGGGGCCTGTGCTGACCTCCCCACACTGAGACAGATTTCCTTGCCGGGTAAGTCTCTGGGAAAATTCCTCTTCCCTGGGATGGGAATGTGACCCTGTGACTGGGCAGCCATTACAGCCGGGGGTGCAGTGCACCTGCAGGGCCTCCCTCCCTCACAGAAGGACTAAACTGCCGCCTCTGCAAATCCACCCTGCTCGGCCTCTGCAGAACATCTGGGCCTCCTCCTACTGGCCACTGGGAAGGGCTGTGCACCTGCGTGTGATTAGGACTCAGCAGAGCCCACAGCCTATGGTCAGGGACTGCAGTGGACAAGTTTCTCTCGGATCACTGTCATGAAAGATGTAGAGCCACCCTCAGCTGAGTGGCCCTTAGAAGGCATCCTTGCCTCGCCCCCTTGGGAATGAACAGGCAGCAGGGACAGACCCAG